GAGTTATTTATTTATTTTCGGCATGTGCCCGGATCCTGCTTTCCTGTTTTGCCTGGATTTATGTCCATCTGCCTCCCCTCCCCCCAGGTCCTGACACCCAGTGGTGCAGCAAACCTGGCTTCCCAGAAAGCGGCAACCTTTCAGTCGCCGGGGAAGCTAGAACCTGCACCCAACAGCGCTTGGCTTGTGCCGGGGACGGGCGACGGTGGACGAGGGAGCGGCAGGAGGACCCCAGCCCAACACGGGCGGAATCGCCCACTGCAGACACAGCAAGCTGACGGAAGCCCGGGTTCGGGGGGGGGAGGGCGCTCGGCAAAGAGAGGCGCTCTGTCCCAGCAACAGGCGAGCACAGCCCCCTTCCCCAAAGGAGCGCCTTCCAGATGTTTGGGACCGCCGCAGCCCCCTTCCCCGTCAGGCCAGCCTCGCAGCAGCTGGTCTCTTCTGGCAACATCGGATGCGTCTCCGGGATTCCCGGGGGGCTCCTAGAGTGCAGTCCAGCAGAACCTCCCCCCCCGACTCAGCGTTCGTTCACACTGCTGCCCAGAGAACTGTGGGAATCGGGGCAGGGAAAGGGGGCTTTCTGGGCACTCCCCCCGGCCCCCCGTGTGAGCATGGACCGCGCAGGCCTCTCTCCCGCACACGTCGCCTCCTCTTGCCCAAGGATCCGTGGGGGCACCTCGTTCATCGAAGAATGCCTTCAACCGCAAGCGCGCCTCTGAAAAACGCACGTTAGCACGCTGTAATCACGCGAGCAGAATGAGCACGGTTCCGGCACGGGGACCATCGACGCCTGCATTTGAGGGGCACATGCACCACATGCGATGCGGGGCTTTTCAAGGAGAAAGGGGGAGAGAGAGAGCGAGGCCTGCAAGCTGAGACAGACTGCCGAGCTTCAAGGCAGACGCTGGAGGAGACGGGCGAGTCCGATTCCTGCTGACTGGCACACCCCATCCAGGGCCCTCCTGATGCGGTGCACCACAGATCCCATCATCCCCAATTGGCATGGGCCATATGGGCTAGGGACCTGACCCCAACCAGCTTGGAAGCAGCCCCGTGCCGTGGTGCTGCCCCCCTCTGGGAAGCAAGGGGGGCGGGGCGTCTTGGCTTCCTCTGCCCGCCTGCATTTGTCCGGCCACTCTCCCCACTGTAAGCTCCTCCAGGCAGAGGCCTGTTTCACATTGCGCTGGCGCCACAGATGGAAAGGCATCCAGATTTCTGTCGGCCCGACCTGCAGGTTCCTCGGCAGGCCGGCTCTGTCCGAGTCGCCCGGATTCCCCGCTTGGCAGCCTGTCCCTTTCGCACGGGGAGGGGGGCGGGCGTCTTGGCAGTCTGTCTGCGTTCTGTCCGCACCCCTTCCCGTTAACTGATGCATGTCGGTGCCATTAGATGTCACTGCATTCACACAGCACAATCGGTGTGGACATGAAGCCGCGCGAGCAGAAAACAAACGGCAGTTTAAGAAGTCCAAGCCTGTCATGAGCCGCCGGCGGAATAATCGGTGGCTGACATCGCGGGACGCCCGGATGGAGCCGCCCGAGCAACGCTGCCGGAGACTGGCAGGCTCCGCGGCTTCTCTCCAGATCGAGCGGCCTGCAGGCACGGCTGTGCTGTCCCTGCAGCGGCACCGCCGGCCCCCGAAGCGCCACCTGGAGAGGCAGGGGGCGGGAACGGCTGCGGAGCGGCAGGGCCCCCCAGTGGGGCAGAGGGAGCTTCCCTGGGGGCGGCGTTCCCACACGCGAAAGGCCGCGTCCCGGCTCAGGAAGCGTGTCTGGGCTGCAGCCCCGGGCCAAGCTCATCCCTGAGCCAGCCCCGGGCCAAGCTCATCCCTGAGCCAGGCCGTGCTTGGAAGACGTGCCCGGCAGATCCAGACTCGCTCTGGAGCTGAGAAGCAGATCGGAAAAGCATAAAAAATGGAAGGTTCCCTGATTTTCCAAGACGCCACCCGGGATTTCACCCCTCCAGCCTGGCCGATACTTGGAGGGGAGCCTAGCCGGCCAGGGCCAGCCTAGGAAGTCCAGCTGGCCGGGAACCCGCTCTGAGTTGCATGACGGAAGCGATAAATGGCTGAGATGAGCACGCAGGAGTCTCTCCTCAGCTTTTCCCGTCTCCCGGCCAGACAGGCGGACGCACCAGCGTCAACTGCAGGCGCAGCGCGAGCTGGGTCCCGACGGGTCCGGGGGCCACTCTTGAGTGACCGGGCCCACGAGCAAGTCAACCACACGCCCAAGCCTGCAGTTGCAGCCCTGCGCCACCAGAGGGCGCCGGTCCGTTTCCCATGGGAGCCGCTGGGGAGCAGGGAGAGGGGGAGCTGCTCCGTGCATTGGGGGGGGTGGGGGGGTTTGGGAGGGGGCCGGGCGGCTGGCCCTCGGATGACGCGGGAGCCACGCCGCACGAGCCCGATGAATAGGGCGCTGATTAGGGAGCAGCGGGTGGGGTTTAAAAATAGGCGAGGTGGCGGAGAACGCTCGGGTCCCACACCGCCACGGCGCACGGGGGCTCGGGGAGCGAAAACCTCCCTCCCACGCGCACGCACACGGACAGCTCCCTGGGCCCCCACGGCACTGGCCCGGCCAGCCAGGGAGGGTGGCTTCCCAAGCAGCCACCCCCAGCGCCCTGGGACGGGGCGGGGAGACGCGAGAGGGGAGCCGCCTGCTTCCCGGAGAGGCTTGGGGCTTGGAATGGCCAGGCGGGGAGGGGGCAGCCGCCCGCAGCTGCGGAGAAGGGGCCCATCCCTTCCTAGATAGCGGAGCTCGCCCATCAAAGGGTTCCCACAACCTCAGGGCCACGGCGGTCCCCTCTGCGGCCCACAATCGAAGCCACGATACCTGCCGTGTGAGCCCATGCAGCACAACTCCCATCATCCCCACTGGTCGGGCGGGCTGGGAGGCTGAACGCCAGCGCCTCTGGGGGCTGCCGGCTGAGGATTCGTCCCTGCAGGAGTCCCACCCTTCACCAAAGAGCGGAGAGCAAGTTCAGCTCCGTTTGACCTGGACTGGGGCCTGGGCCAGTTTGCCCCTGCCCAGCTGGACGTGGGCAGTTCAGTTCAGTGCTTGCGACGCGGTTCGTGGACAACCCCCTCCGAATGGGGCCCCCTGACATTTCAAGGAGAGCAGCCCCGTCCGGATGCACGGGCCCGACGGGGCAAGCGGAGAAAGACGCATGGAAATGTGCACTTTTGGGCGGAAAGGGACCCCGGAAAAGCGTGTTCTGGAACGGACTTCAGTCAGGCCTCGGAGCTGGGATGCTCCGGCTTTGCTCATCCACGCACCCTGCCCTGCCCTGCCCTGGACGCCACCCCAGGCCCAGGCCACGAGGCAGCCACCCGAGGATGACGTGGCCGGCGTCGGTTCGGGGGCCCTGGGAGATGCCGCGCTCGCTTCCCGGCTGGCCCGCCCAAGCCGCGCTCCGCGCCTTCCCACAACGAGGCAGGCTGATGTTTTGACAGCTGGGGCGACGGGACTTCCTCCTGCTGGAAATGCATTAATTTGTAAATATCTTCATTTATATGTAAATGTGGGTTTCTTATCCCCAAAGTCTCCCTGGCCAATCAGGACGCGGCAGGAGCTGCTTTCGCATCAAACTTTGCTTGCTTTTATGTAACGTTTCGGCTTGTTGGGCTGGCACCTCCGTCCCCCTCCGGTCTCCTTGTCCTTTGCACGCTCCCTCCCTCTCCCCGCCATTCATTCTCATTCCAAAGGCTTCCTTTCCTGCAGAATAATGGAATCTGCCCCAGCTCCTCTCCCTGGGCCCTGCCAGGCCGTGCCTGAAATGCAATCACGGCAGTATCACCAAGTGTTTTGGCACCTTTGTCTCCGGGCGCAGCGGCCTCTCCCCTTTTGGAGTGAGGAGGCGAGGAGTGGAGGAGCAAAATCCGGCGGCCGCTGCAGCTGACTCAGCCCTGCTGCCTGGTCCCCTGGTTCATTCTTTGGGACTCCGGGAGACCTGCCCGCCACAGGCGCCCTTCTAATGGCGGCTAGCTGCTGGCTCTGATGGCTCTGCGGGGTGAACACCATCGCCAGGCAAGGGCATCCGTTCCCCCCAGAGGCCTGCACCACATGGACCCGGCTGGGCTCACTGCACGCCGGAAGCATCAGCCCCCGGCCCCGCTCTGTGACCGGCCCACAAGGCGAGAAGAGCTTCAAGAAATGCATCGCTCCGGGCAAGGCTCCACCAAGGCAGTCCCCAAGACAAAGCCGTGCCTGAGCCACCGCTTCCAGATCCCGAACCTCCTTGCCTGTCTGTCTGCTTGCCGCCACTGCCCACGGCTCGCCCGGCTGTTCAGCAGCCCCCTTCAGCTCTGCTCATTCCTTACCAAGGGATCCAGCCAATCAGGGATCCTGTGCTGGGCAGGGGCAGCACCACTGAGTTACACGGGCAGAGAGACGCGGTTATTCGTGGGTGCCCCTAACTGGGCAGCAAGAGACTTCGGAGAAAGAACGAATACGGAGAAACACAGAAACATAGACACAGAGCGAGTCAGAAGGGGTCTCCCGGGCCATCTAGTCTGACCCCCGGCTCCAGCCGGCTCTGCTCATGACATGCCCACCACATGCGTGCCTAGCCTATGCTTGAACACCCGCACCGGTGGGGCCTCAACCCGCTCCCTTGAGCTTGGCTCTGTTGGAGCGCGTCCTGCCTTCCTCCAAAGGGAAGAACAGGTCTCTACACAGGTCTCTGTGTGACACCCCATCACATTCGCATACGTTCTCCAGGGTGACCCCCGGTCTGTCAGAGAGGAAAATAAGCAGGTATGATAGCAAGGCATGTGCTCTTCCACCCCCAAATTAACCCAAAGAGGGAACCTCTTCCAGATCTGGGGAAGCTTCCCATACTTTCACTCCGAGAAAGTGCAAGACCTTGACCAAGACGGCAAAGCGCTCTGTGCGGGCCTGAAAGCTTGCGCAGTTGGCAGAGCCCACATTTTCGTGGACTGGATCCGAGCTGAAAAGACACGTGAGTTTTCGGGCAAACCAACCGGCACCTCAGCGCACGGGGCTTACCGTACAGTCGACTGGTACACCAGGTCCTCCCGTTTGCGGTAATTCTCCATGTGCGACTGGTTGGTGGAGAACATGGCATCGAAGGTGAAAATCTTCTGCTTGATGGTCCCGCCGTCCGTCACCTGCCCAGGGAAATGCAAAAGAGGCCGAGTGAACCCAAGCGCACCTGCTCCCCAGAGGCACCGTCTCGCCCACCGCCTTCCCAGGAGGCTCGGTGGCACCGACGCAAGAGCAGTGAAATTGGCAAACGCACCAAAGGCTTAATGCATCTTAAATGACAAGTGCGTCATGCGCTTGAGGAGGGGTATGAAGTGCTGCTGCTGACGAGGTTCCCAAGCAAGGCTCGGAGGACTGGGCTTTGCTCCTGGGAAGGCCTGTGGGAGAAGATCCGTCCTGCGGCGGGGCCAAAACCCCCGAAGGGCGGCCACGGGCCGGATCTGGAGCCGCAGGCGGGTTCCCAGAGGGGGGCAGCGCCACGGCTCGGGGCTGTTTGCCAAGCCACCAGGCCCCAACCTCTGGCTCAGGAGAGAGCCTTCGAAAGAGCAGGGCCACGGGCGGGCCAGGCAGGGATCCTGCAAAAATTACGCCGCGCATCAACTCAGATCGAAATGAAACGGCACAGTGCGTGCTGCAGCATTTTGGACTGCCGCAGTGTGATTCCCCATTTTGCTCGGTTTGCTGCTAGCTAGAAGGAGATGCAGATATTTGGGCTCCTGGAGCCCAACGGGCGTGGGGAACGGGCCAGCAAGAGTGCTCGGACGCGCACCTTCCTCCAGGCATCAGCTCCCTGCGGTTCTGCAGTCGTTGCTGGTTTTTTAAGAAGACGACAGCGGCACACCGCAAACCATTTCAGACGGAGAGGCAGCCCTCCCCAACTTCGCAGGTTCCCAGAATTGTGCCGTTCCCCCCACAGGCTAAAGTGGGTGCTGTTCACACCGTACAGATTTTGATAAAGTTTTGCATTTTGAGGAAATCGGGCATTTTGGGAAAGGCCTGCATTTTGAGGAAGTTATGCGATTTGAGAAAATCGTGCATTTTAAGGCAGCTGTCGTGCACTTTTTAACAGCCTGCTGTTATCCTTACGGCCTCCCTCAGAAATGCTTCGCTGGAGGGTTCATGACGGGCCGAAAGAACCCCGGGGGCGAGTGGGGGCTGCAACCCAGGCCGCCCAGGGCCCCATCCAGCACCCGGCCGAGTGGCGTCCCCGCCAGGGGGCGGCTGCCGAAGCGCCACCGCCCGGCTTTCCCGGCCGAAGTCCGCCCCGTTCAGCAGTGACCCGGTGGAACGCCGCCCGAGGACGCGCCAACGCACGCGGGCGGCCTCTTCACGCAACGCCCCCGGCCCCGGCGAGGCGAGCGGCCCTCCTTTCCACACCCCCCCAGCCCTTCCTCCCCCAGCACTTGCCGCGTGCTTTCTTGCCGATGCGGCATGTTTAAAAATAAATTGGTACAAATGTTGTTCGAGAATAAAGAATTATCGAGGGGTGGCAGCCGCGGTCGGTGGGGGGCGGCTTCCTCTTCATCTGCGCGCATCTAAGAAACGCGAAAGAAGCCGAGCTGCTTTGATCCGCCAACTTCAGCCACTGCCATTCAAAGTCCTGCGGCGGGAGATGAACGCGGTTCTGCCGGGGGGCGGGGGGAGAAGACGGGGGGATTGGGCCGTGCCGCCGCGGAGCTCTGAAGATCAGGGCAGAGCGTTTAAAGTCTTCACGAGCCTCGGGGGGCAGAGCGGCCTCAGATCTCCCCCCGTTATTTATCTCGCGAACATACACACTCGGCAGAATTTCATCTTCCCACCCCATCGGTGCGCGCATCCCCGTGACTCGCACTCGCACACCCGGGGAGGGGGGCTGCTTAACCTTGCGATGGATTCGGAGGACACGGCCGGGCTGCGCGTGGCGGCGGGATTAAGGGCCGCCCTGTTCCGCTTCTCGGGGTGGCCTGGACCGCCACGCGCTGGAGCAGGGGGGTGCAGCGGGGCGAGAGCGACCTGACCGGACGGCCCTGTGCCCCCCATGTCGGCCAGGTGGCCCCGAGGGTCCTGCTGCCGTTCCACCCTGGAGGAGCACAGCGGCCCTGATCCGGGCCCTGATCCCGACCCCGATCCCCAAGCAGGGCTGGAGCCCAGAGGAGGCTGCAGGCCCGGGTCCGCTATCACTTCCTGGGCCTGCCGCAGCATCAAGAGGAAGGGCCAGCTGGGCCGGGACAGGCTGGTGGGCAGGCAGGGGGCGAGGGTGCCTGTCTCCGTCTTTATTTTAGCTACTGGATACTTTCCTGGCAGGGCGATCCGGGAGCAAGCCACAGAGGAGCCAGCCGGACCGAGGCAAGAACGGAAAGCCTGCCCGGGAGTGGCGATGGACACACAGTCCTGATCTGACCCCCAAACACTGCTCTGATAGCCCCCTGCTGCGGCCAGCCCGCTCCCACGCGGGTCCGGACAGCTCGCACTCTTCCGCCTCCAAGGTGCACCACAGTTTTTTTACAAAGCGGTGAGGAAATTTATGCAGAACACACTAATTTGCCCAAACTGGAAGCCAAACACTTTGCAATTTCAGCACGGCGGGCACAAATCCCCAGCTTCCCATTGATAGAAAGAGCATGGAACGATCTACACAGATCACATGGGTTTCCTGAACTCTGCTTTGTGGGGGGGGGGGATGCAAACCGTCACTTGGGATGTGCGCAAGCCCCACGGAACCAAGCATGGAAAGGCTTCATGTCCGGGGGAGAAGAAACCTGAGGCTTGTTTTCACAGGCCTCAGAATCTGTGCGCTTCCCCAGCAATGGCACCGGCATCTGGGGACCCCGGCTCTTTTCCTTTCGAAATCCTTCCATGCCCAGCAATATGGCGCACCTGTGTGCGGAGGGGGGAGGCGTTTGCCCCTTGCGGCTTCTGGGGAACATCCCGCATTTCCCCAGAGAGAGGCAGAGAGGGACAGGCAGGTGGGCAGAGCCCTCCCCGGCTGCGGCCACCACGTCCAAGCCTCAGCACGTCTCCGAGATAACACACAACGAGGCGCAGATCTGCTAATGAAATGATGCACCTGGAGGCAGTGTCAGAATGTCTCTTCCATGGGAAATGCGAAATCGCAGATGGTGCTAATAAACTCCAGAAGCAAACGTCTGGGGAATAAAGGAAGACGCGTGCAGGGAGGCGGTGCGGCCGACACGCGGCCAGAGAGGGGAGGAGGGGGACGGGGCCCTCACTGCCCCCTTTCCGTGGGGATCTGCGGGGGCCGCAGAGGGGTTGCAAGGCAGCGGGACAAGCCCCCGCCGCCAGGCTGGCAGGCTGCTCTAGAAATGCGCCAAGGAAAGAGGAAGGTCATCAGGCACGTACGGACGCGCCGCCACGGACCAAGGGCCCATTCGGAAAAGCGACAGGTTCTCGGCGAGCGCCAGGCAGACGCCTCGTGGCAGAAGCCGCCCTCCACCCCCTTTTGTCCTCAACATGCGGAGACGGCTCGCGTCGGGCGCATGAGGCTCCTTCACGCGCACACGCCCCGCGAGTCCTGAAAGGGGCTCGGAAGCGGGTGGCACAGCGGGAGGGCGGAGGAGAGGCTGGGAAAGGGTGCCTTGCGCGTCCGTGACCGCGTTCGGTTGTCTCAGCCGGCCCTGAAGGGCAGCTCGTTCCGACCTGCGGAGGTGTGACGCTTAGAACGCCTCGTGCTGGCTCTCAGCAACACGCCCGGCAGTCCTACAATCGTCGGGGGGTTTAAACAAGAGAGATCTTGGACAGGTACTGCCTCCTGGTTCAGTCAGGAATGCTGCATTGGCCGGTCAGCAGGTTAGTTCCATTTGGAAGGAGCAGGTTTCCTGTCCTCAGGAATTACCTGTCCACAGTTTATTTGGTATCTGCCTTTCTCTGGGAGGGCGGTGAGATGGGAAGCCACCCCTTCCAGGACTGGGTGCTCCTGCCAGTGCTTTTGCTCCTTAGCGCAGTGCAAAATCAGGTTCTCCCCAAGGGAAGCCATTCTGGCTTCGATTCTGACGTTTCAAGATGCAGACGTCGACTGCAGGGCGGTGCAACTCCAGTTAGCTGCGGCTAAAAGAAGCAAGGCTGTCTCAGTGAGTCCAAAATACAGGAGCTGTCGGAAGGATTCCCACTGGGCCAATACAATGAAATGGGCAGGCACCACAATTCCCATCATCCCCAGCTCGCATGGACAATGCTCCTAGTTTATAGCAGCTGTGGGCTACCACAGGTGGCTAGGTTGCGTCGGGTCAGAATCGCAGGGGCATCCGGTGATCTTTAGAATTCACCCTCCCAGGAGGGAGGCTGGCTGGGGCAGATGGGTGCTGCACTGCATCCCCATCTGGAGGATAGGGATGAAAAGAAATCCATTTCGGTTCCCTTTTGAGCAGAATTCGCTCAAATGCAAGTTGCAGGGAGCGTCAAGGGGGGATCGGAGGAGCCCGTCCGGGGCGGTTTGCTGATTCACCGCCTGGAGAGCCACACAAAGTCTTGTCCCCAAGGTGAGGCCTCCGTCGTGCGCAAACCCCGAAACGTGCGCATCCCCTCCCTGCGGAATCACATGCGTGTGAATGCATTTTTCCAGAGGACACATTTTCCTTGCCTCTGTTCCAAATGTACCCAGTCCATCCAACACACGAGGACCAGATCGCAAGCTTGGAAAGGTCCCGGCGTTCGCCTGGCAGTGCATCCGTGTCACCCGGGGGCTGGAAGGTGCGGCCTGGGCTAGTCCTGACCTAAGCAGAACGGGGATCAGCTTGGTCTATGCCTGCGACTGTGTCTCAGGCCCCTCGCCAGCTCTGCACTTTGCTTCGGAACCGCCGGGTCAGGCCAGATGTGGCGAAGGCTTTGCTCCATGATGCCCCAAAGGAGTGGCATTTGTACGGCATCTTCTGTCCTTATTCTCTACCCTGCTGTTCTTCCTCTCCCAAGGAAGGACGGCCTCGCCCAGGTCTCTTCTCTCCATCACCCTGTGGGGCCCAGGCTCACCCAGCGAGATCCTCGGCCAAGTGGGACCGGAACCGGACCCCCACGTCCCGGCCTGCGCTCAGCCACCGCACCACGCCTGGCGCCAGTTACACGCAAAGGGTGCGCTCGACGGGCCCGGAGCCGCCCGGGCAAAGCAGAGGCGGCCGGCGACCTTCCCCTTCTT